GTGCACACGGGGCGAATCTCGACGGCCTCCAGAGCAATATGACGAGAACGTAACTAGACACGTTGGTCGCTACGCGAACGCCCGATTGCCTCCAGCCAAATAGCATTCCTTTCGGGGCGACATGGCTGCTGGAAGGCTCACTGTCGGGATCACGCATCTGACATCTCCGAAAAGTCAGCATTTGCACGCGCAAACAAGCAAAACAAAAAAAAAACAACGAAAGAACCGCGCTATGAAAGCCAGAACCCCGCGTCGCTTCCTATCACTAACACCTGCGACAGCTGCTAAACACACACTACTTCACTTCAAGAAGTCTCACTCAAGCACCTGGGTCAGCACGAAACGATGAAACACTGATCACTTCGGCGAAACGATTAGTCGAGGTAGGCGAGACAGGCGGGAGCAGAGACTTCGGCGGCCATGAAAGAATGGGCGCGTTAAGTTAACGTGCTCGAGCGCGCTCCAGCGGTCAGAGTGCACTCGAGCTAAACCAAACGGCATCGTCTCACTTCCGGTGCACGGTGGCGGAGCGCGCTCCGCGAGCTCCGTCGTCGGAGATGGTGCGCGGGAGCGCGAAGGGGTCGGTTTCCGGTGAGATGACGGCGTTTCCGCTCTCGCGGCCAGTCTCGCGGTTACTCGCGGTGGTTTCACGCGGTGGGGGCGGTGGTGGGGGAGTATGTATGATCTCTATGGGTGGAGGTGGTCTCGTACGAGACGGAGGAAACATCAAAACCCCAAACGTTTTGGGCTCAGGGCTGAGCCGCCGGGCCACTCTGGACCAGAGGCGTCGGGTGTGCGCAATACCTGGCGAGCGAGTTCGCTTCCGAGCGCTCCGAGGATGCCACCGCGCTCGCCTCGCCAAACCTCGCCGATCGCGACCGGACCAACCGAACCCCACGGCCGAAAGACTTCGGCCTAGCCAGGAACGGCACCGAGGTAGGCCAGTCGTGGGTAGGAGCTGCTCGTTCTGCGCTACCATGCAATGCTCGGACCTCTCGGCGTCGTTCGTGCTTGCGCCGAAGCCTTTAGGGACTCCCTCGGACGCTCAAGTCGCGCCTGCTTGGATGCGTGGATATTTCGACGGCGATCGCTTGGCAGCTCGCGCAATCGTTCCGTCATCGTGGAAAATAAAAAAAAAAGAAAAAAAAAAGCATGGTGTTGGTGTAGAAAGGTACGCATACAGCTTGTCGAAGTTCTTCATGTACCTTACCGCAATTTCAGGATCAGGCAAGCCAATAAATTCAGCCATCATTCTTTAAGGCTTTTGGGAATTCAGAAGGCGTTCGGCGTACCTTTAATCGCCGCACCAACAGCGTGCAGCACAAATACAAGCTCTGGCTGTTGCCGCCGTCCCCGCGCACTTATTTCATCGATGTCGTCGTCGAAGAAACACTTTTACGGGAGCCATGTTTACGCGCGCCGAAAAGCCGGAACCGGAAACGTTAAAAAAATAGGCGTCAGATGGCGCCTCGGTACCAAAGTGCGCCGTTAAGCTACGCTCCGAACCCGCGCGCTCGAGCGCAGATGTCCAGAGTCTGGAGCTCACTAACTTAACGCGCCCAATGGCGAAGCTTTTGTTTGAATGAATCCGAACGGAAGTGCCCCTCTTGTAAACCTTTTGTAAAGAATAATAACTTTCATCACATGGGTTATTCTTTAAACGTAAAAATATGTCGCTCAAAAGGAAATTGCAACATATAACAAAGGTTTAACAACCAAGATCTAAGCTGTCAATCATACTCTTAGCCAATGAGAACCTTTTGGGATTGACGTCACATAATCACAACTTCGTGGCGCGCGATTTAAAACGGACGAAATAGCCGCAAACTAAAATGAGTCTCACGCAATAAATATTGCTGTAAAAAATGTTTTTTCTCGCGGAAAAATTGTTTTTTGACATGCTTGTCCCAATTAGGCTATTTAAAAAAAAACTTTTTTTTCTTTGCAGTTACCCTTTAAGTGATGATTCTCTTGTGACACATACTAGTGTTTTCAAATTTTTAGATAGTATCGGCCTTCTACACCGATTGTAGCTTTCTTAACCTACAGATCATGCCCATCACCCTTTTACCTTTTGGTACCCCATTACCATCTTTTATCTAATCACTGGCTACTAAAGCCTCTTTTTTCTCTCGAAACCTTTTCCAGCAATAGTCTCGTTTTTGGCGCTCTATGGCCTTAGTAGCTTTTGCGCCATAAACACCAAATCAACCAACCAACCAATCGAAATTCCAGGGGAAAGGGAGGGGGGGGGGGGGGGAGGCAACTGCCCACCCTTGCACCCTCCTGCAGACGCCCATGGAAAGGGGTCATACATGAATGGAAAGGGGTGAAAAGGTGGTGAGGAAGAACTATTGCTAGCGCATTTCCATCCAATGAATCCCATTGATCACAAACTATTTATGTGAGGACACCTTACACCATGAACTAAGAGTAGATCCATGAAACCAGTTGAGGTGAAACAGTAAAGGGGAAGTAAAGTTTGCCACATTCAGGGGAGAATTTTCGCTACAGTAGCTTGGGGTCAGCTCCCTCAAATTCTGAACGTTTTAGTGTGAGAAAGGTAAATGCAGACTAGCGTTTGTGAACGTAACGGCTGGAAAGATGTATCAACTGTAAACATTTCAGTGAGTTTCTACCGTACACACACAAAGCATAAGAGCATAAACAGGATGAAGGAGCCACAAAACTCGACCAAAAATTGTCGTAAAAAAAACAAATTATTTTTTATAGCGGCAGCTGTTATAGGAACTTTGCGGCTCTATTCGCAACAGTATTGTGCTAGGCAGTAAACTTGCGACGTCTTCAAATCACACGACTACGTCCAGCCAGAGTAGTTCACCCCTCGGCCAAGAGATGGTGGTTGCGCGTCACATCATATCATTTCTCTTCTAGATTTCGGAGTGAGCACATGGGGAGGCCATGCAAAGTTAGGACACTCTCTAAAGAGAAGGACTGAAACACTCTCCAATTTGAAGCAGAGAGTGACCTGTTGCACTTACTGAATGAGGAACAACGGGCAGCTGGGCATGCGAAGCATGCTGCAGCTTAATAGAGACATAGACACTGAGGTGTGCAAGTATGGCAATGAGAAGCAGAACCACAAAGACTGAGACATGAAAATTCAGGACTGCAGGAACAAGAACAAGTTAAAGGGCATAGACAGGAAGTATGCATAAAAGTGTGTGTTGCTTTGTGCAATAACAGCTATGGCTGTCGCTGCTTTACTAACTGTGGTGAAAATATACTGTAATAATTTTTTTATACTCATTAGAAAGTCAAAAATACATTTCTTTCCAGTGGATTCTAGTTTTAATGTTATTTATTGGGGAGTGTTCATTAGACTGTTTGTGATTGACCTGAGAAGGCAGGTCTCTAGCCACATTATTAGGGCTGGGGCAATAACTTTTTCAGATTATCATGTGCCCTGTGGAATGGTCTAAGGCTGCTTAAAATGAGGGTGCTACGAGGTTCTCAATACCTCGTCGCAGTGTCCCCATCGTCTCTGTGTGGGGCGTCAGCTGAAGGCTCTTCTTATATGGACATAGATACTGTTTTTATTGCTTCATCTTGTGCTCACATGCATGTAAGCGCCAATGTGCCAGCAGCATTGCAGTTAACAAACCATATTCATGGTAGTGTTTCAGGTGCAAAGGGTTTTAAATCAATGCTGATGTTGCTGACGACGGGACATTTGGTCAGTTCACTCTTTGCTTAGTGCTCTTCCAAGTTTCTGTGGCGGACTGGAAAGACTAATTAAAAAAATACAGAAATAATTACTGTTTGGCACAAGCAACTAAATTATCTTTTCAAACAGGAGTCACCTGCATTAGGAAACCACCTCAATGCTTCTGCCGAGTGTCCGTAAGAAACATTTGCAGTGTTCATTTCACCACAAAAATTAACTATGCTTTATCAGAGGCTCAGTCTCTGCCAAAATGTAATGCTAGCTGTCTGAGCCAGATATCAGAGTTTCAGAGCTTGCCATTATCTGAATAAAAAATTATAAGCAATTTTCGTCAATTTTTGAAAAAGGAAATGGCGGTCGACGAAGCCCACAAATGCACAGAGATGACTGAGCCAAGAACGGACCCCATTTTCTTTTTAAAAATTGCCGAAAATTGTTTGCAACTTTTTATTTAGACAAACTCTGAAACGTCGGCTTCTGGTTTGGTCTGTAAGCACCGCATTTGAGCGGAGACCACGTTGCAAAAAACACATTTAGGTGATGCCACTCGCCGCTCTCGCCGGGGAGGAGGCACGGACAAGGAGCCAGAGTTGCACGTCTGTTTTCCACAGTCTGTTGCGCTGGTATTCACCAAATTCAATCATGTGACAAACAAAAAAAACAATGCTGCGAGGGAAAGCCTCTAGTGCGGCCACTCCACTAGCCGCTAATTAGCCACTAGCCAACTGCACTTGTGTTCTTTGCTTTTGCGTGAAGCTGTATATCATCCATTCATAGGTGAGCAGACAGAAACTCTCCATGCTAATATAATGGGGGAGAAGTACTGATATAATGGGGAAGAAGTGGCATCATCTGTCAGTGTTAAAGAGAAGCGCGAGGCGCGCCGAACATAATTTGAACGCTCCGTCGGATCAAGTGGCGTCACCTAAATGTGTTTGTTGCATCGTAGCAGAGACCAAGCAATCAATAATACATGGTTTATTTTTGTGGCGAAAAAAAACAACAACTTTAGTGTTTGCTTTACCGCAAAGATTCCCCTCATACCCGGTACTTCCAGAGGAGAGTTCTTAACCTTTATTGTCAAGTTGTTAATCTGAGAAATTAGAGACACATGAGGTGATCCGGATACAGGTTGTGACGTGACTTATATTGTTTGTAAGAGAAAACTTTGAGACGTGGAGAGGTATCCTCTAGGCATCCTTGTACAGCGAGGTATCCGTTCTGCCAGAGGCTTCTGGCATTCCTAGCCCGACAGTGGCTCGCTAGGGCGTTGTCTTGCAGTGAATCACATGGCAGGGGACATTGTTCACAGCCACACCAAGGATGGCTTCAGCAAGGTGCAAATCCCCAGCCTGGACGCCACCCTAAGGGAGGTCCTGGACCAGATGCTCAAGCGCAGGAAAGGCCTGCTCAGGTCTCTAGGTAAGCTCTCTGCCGTGGCATGCCTTTCCAAGGCAGCCTCGCAGCCAGGTCCTCGCCAAACCTGTCTGCGGGCCTGCATTAGCCTCTCTACCTCCCCCGAGACTTTAAGGGAAGGCACGGTAGTAACAGTCGAGTTTCACTCTGAGAAAAGCAACCCATTTGTTCTTTCTATGATTCTTTGGGGTCGCTGACAAGCAACGAACTAGTTTGCTTGAGCTTTGTAGGCTGCCTCAAAGCAGCATTTCTTGGCTCTTCTGGGAGCAAACAGTGTGCTAGAGTGTTTGCCTTATGGTGGCACTGATTGTGTAGCTATGGTCACTGACAGGACAAGGATCGCAAGGTGCCTTTTTTGAACGCCCAGCGTCCGGTATGTGCTCGTCTGTGTCTGCTTATATCCTGTTAACAGGTGGGAAAAGTAATGGCTCCACTTCCTTTTCGTCGGCTTTACTCTTCCTTTTTCACTCCGTGATAATGGGCGATAATTAAATTTTCGGGAAGAATATCTGAATGTTAGTGCTACAGGTTTGTGTGTTGTCTGATGCAGGACCCGAGTTCCACGTAGAGAATCACAAGGAAGTAGGAATCCCCATTGACCTGGACACCACCATACGGTCGAGCGGTACCCTCGAGTTCACTCTGGTCTCGGAAGACAGTGAGTTTTTATCTTGTTTATTCATACTACTAGTCCTTGTTCAGGACTCTCGTAGGAGTGGTACATAAATAATAATGCAGAAACAAATGCACGGTCAAAATGGTTAGCAATCTAAATTGCAAAAGAATAACATTTTGCACGTGTTAAAAAGAAATGTGTGGTAAAAAAGGAAATACAAATCAAAATACATACAGTAGAACCTCGTTGATATGTTCCCGGTTTTTGCATTTTCCCGGTTTTTATGTTCGGAAGCGCCGGTCCCGTGGAGCTCTCGTAGGAATGTATGTTTTAATTTCCTGCTTAAGGCATTTGCTTTTCTGGTTTTTGCATTCAAAAAGCCGCCGACAAAGCGCCAATGGCCCTGGCTGATTCACGTGATGGACCGATTCGCAAACAGATTGATCCCATGACGACGTCCCCATAGATCATGCACCTCCCAAACGCATTCACACGGAGGGGGAGACAACGAGGATCGACCAAACCACTTAACTGCACAGTGCCACCGTCGTCCACGAGCTAATGCGACATTCGTTACAACGGTCGCGGCGCTATCGCATATACGAAAAAGAATCATGTGCTACTGTTCTGTGCCGCCCGAGGCAGAAGCTAGGCCGTGAGAGGCTTAGTGCGAAACGCCACTAATTTTACTAACCCAAGGCGTAGTACAAGCGTGGTCCCTCTCAAGGGAGTGGAAACGATGGACTCCTGGGCTTGCAAGGGGGCTTTCACCCGTGTCCTCGTCCCTGCATACTTGCGCGCCACACTTCATTATACAGCAGGTGCGGAAAATGTCTCGCTTAACCTTGTTGGGTCTTGGTCTTGTTGGTTGAGAGGCTGGATGGATGTGCAGTACAGAGCGTGGCATGCTAGACGAGTTTCGACAAAAGCTTCTTGACACAAACCTGGAGGAGTAGATTGGAACCTGCAGTGCATCGGCCGGGAACAGTTTCTGCAGCTTTTTTCGCACATGAAACCAAGAATTGTGTGGCAAAACGAACCAATGAACAAACAAAAAAAAACAGTGCACCATCTTTTTTTGCTTGACAGAAGAAAAAAGGTGCGCTGTTGTCAAACTAAACGGTTCTCGAATCATCTCCCGCCAAAAGTCTGTGAAAAGTGCAGACTGAAAAAGCGGAGCGCCTTTTCACTAGCAAATTTTTTTTACTTCACACCACGCTTCAAATATGGTTAGTCTGGCAATGAAAAATTTCTTCCTTTTTAGAGAGCAGCACAAAGATGGTGCATCATCGTGCTTTGTTCTGTTTTTGTTGGTTCCCTGGTCTGTGTTGTCGCACGGTTCTTGGTTTCACACATGAGAAAAGCTGAAAGAACTTGGCCCGGTTGACGCGCTGCAGGTTGTGGTATTCGTCCGGGTTTGTGTCAAAAAACTTCTGTCAAAACTCGTCTAGTACACTGGGATCTCCTGTATGTCCATCCGGCAAGACCTTTTTTGCGGTTTCAGTGTACTGAAGTGTTGTGCATGACTGTGCGCGGTCAAACAGACGAAGACATTGGCAAGCACCCCTTGGCAAGCCCAGGTCTTTGTCCCTCTCCTGCACTGCACTTACCCTAAGTGCCAGGTGGAAATTATGAGCTTTTTCTGAACGTATTTGAGTTCACACTGACGAATGTTATAACATTTTTACTGAACGTATTTGGGATCACTCCTACAAATTTTTATACAGTATAGACCACTTACAACGTAACTGCTTATAGTGCAGGACCGGGTATAGCGCGGTTTTTTTAAACCACCGGTTCGCCTCCCATAGAACTCCATGTAATTACATACCGCTTAAAATGCAGGAGCGCGAAGGGAAATACCGGTTATAGTGCGGTTTTTGGAACAGCCCGCCGACCGCGCAGACCGACCAATGTAGCGAGCACGCTTCCCTGTGCGACACTAGATAACGGCGCTAGCCGCAAGCGGCACTCGCGGGGCAAGGAGGTCGCTCGAAGAAGCGGGGAGAAGCGAAGAGAGAGGCTTCAGTTGCCATAGCAACGTAGGGACGCACGCACGTGTCGTTCCCGTGCGTGCATCCCTCCGCTGCGTTGGGAGAACACCGCAACGACAGACCAATCGCAAATCGAGGAGAAGTGTTCGCGCGCGTTGCATGCCGGTCGCGGGCCGGCTGCTTCTATCCGCAAACATGGCGTCGGTTGTAATCGTCGACGTGGACGGCGTGATGAAAGCTCATCGGTCCGTGTAAAAGCGCTATCCTTGACTGTGAATTTTCGTTGTGTGAGCGAATAACCCAGCATGTACTAGAAGGGAAGATCCACCTACTCGTGCGGCGATGTCGTGGCGGCGCTCTCAAGACGGCAGAAACGCCCGTGTCGTTGTGTTTGTTTACTTCGACTACAGTGGTGATTTCTAAGCATTTGTGTCCTCGAACATCGCCCGGATTTCTTATTTGGCGCATTTCATGCGTGTGCTCAAGTTCAAGGTATTACTGGCGCATACCGTATGAAGGATGCGAATTTTCACCCGTTTTCATCTTCGGAGAAAAGTGATTAGGGTTAGCAATCCTGAACGCTCGCAACGTCCGTCCGCAACCCGCGACGCCGTTAAAAGGCTGCGCCAGGCAAAAGCCGCTAATTTCTTTTAAAATGTGTGACACACTTGAGACATAGCTGTGCTAGTCTATTGAAATAAAGACTTTCCTCAAACTAAGCTTTTTTTTTTCATCTAACATAAAATAAATTCTTTTACAAAGGTAAGTTGTCTCATGGCATGTATTTTGGCCTGAAAAATTGATGTTTTGGTTATAGTGCGGTACCGCTTATAGTGCGGATTTTCGCGACTCCCGAGACATACGTTATATGCGGTCTACACTGTACTGATGCGCATTTTAACTTGCAAGTATGCTGATCATTGCAGAATGGGCTCAAATAGTGAATCAAGTGAACGGCGAGTCGCCGATAGGGACTTAAAAAGTGGCCTGTGCTGAGACATTGTACAGGACGCTCGCGAGCTCAGAATATCACCCCCGGGGCCCGTGGTGCCCGGAATGCGTCTCCGACCGGTGTGTCTACCGCATCCTCAATTGTGGTCCCTGGACATTTGCTCGATAACGTTCGCATCACGTTGTTGCTTGTTGCAATCCTGTCGGCGACATAGCATCGGAGGTGGATGCAACCGGCGGCCATTCTGCTCTAGGTCGCTCTGCAGCGTCCATCTGTCACCGGCACAATAGCCCCAATGTGGAACTTTCAGCAGCCAGGAGTCCGGGCGCTGCGAGGATGATGACGCTCGCGTTCGCTTGTCACTGTTACGAACTTCCACGGTGGCAGCACGACACTCTGGTTCTTGCGACATAAGTTGCTGCCACTCGGGGACCTTTTTGTATGCGTGGGTGGAGCAGAACGACACACACGCCGGTCGTAGACGCGTTCCAGGCACCTTAGCGAAACTGAAAAGGGAGAGGTCCGACCGCCCGCCGTCCTTGCAGTGGTGCCGTCTGCGTCCAAGCTGGAGGAGTGGGCTGACCGGGACATGACTGCCATGGAGGCTCACCTGTACCAGGCGTTCAACGTCGCCATCCTCCAGCGGATCGGCCGCAACACCGAGGTCCAGCTGGGTGAGGGCCGAGCTCCTTTTCCTAGGCCAGCGAGGTGCCTCCTCTCCACTCTCGTTTCGACCGCTCCGCAGTATCCCCCACAATGGCTCTTCGGAGTTGGAATCCATATTACCAAACTCCCTAAAGGCCTCCGGTGTGGAGACTCTGTTGCTTTCCAACTTAGTAACTTTTTTGCTCCAAGTGTCGCTGGTATGGTAGCGCAATGCTAGAGAGCCTAGACTGACGAGGGGGTCGTCAATCTAATCATTTGGAGTTCAATGACAGACTGTTACTGCGGAGATCAGTCAAAAGTGTGCGTGCTGCGATGGTTGTTGCTGTTGTCTCGGGGCAAGGAGGAAGGCGGGCAAAGAGGTGGAGATGCTTTTGCCACCTCCTCGCAGCTCTTATTGCAAATGCAGACCGTGAACCGAGTGACCCTGTCGAGCAGTTAGAAATTCTCCGTAATATAAACTCTGCGCAAGACCTTCGAGAAACCAGTTGCGTAGTCCCGCATGCCAAACATGTCGGTTTATGTTTAAGAGGCTAGTTGGAAGTAGTCTAAGCTCATTATAACAGACCTTAAGTTTTACCAAGTTTTTGGTCTGTTGTAAAAGGAGTATGTTGTATGCACATATGAAGTTGAGTCAGTGGTACATAGAGGAAAACCAACCAAACTTCACAAATCGCTATGTTATATCCAAATGTCTGTTGTAACCAGGTCTGTTGTAATGAGCTTAGACTGTATGTACAATCGGGTAGGAATGAAATGCAAACGGCAGAGCACGTCGCCTTCCATGCATGCTGCGCAACCTAGAGGCAACTGATAAAACTGCCGAGTGGCAGAGGGGGGGGGGAGAGGAAGGGGCTGGGGTTGGCTGGCGGGGGGCTGGGGGCTGGCTGGCTACGAGAGCATGCACATTGGAGTAGGCGCGCACAGCCTCAAAGCCCCCTCTCCACTCATCAGTCTTATTAGTTCCTAGTTGCCTCTAAATTGTGCTGCATGTATCCACGCAATCTGCTGTTCGCATTTCATTCGTACACGGCAGTAGATACATACATTGTTTGAAGATGAAAACTGCACTAAAACACGAGTGACAAATAGTTGACGAAGGTCACAGTTCAAACACATGTTGCTTTTGCATTTGTACAGAGAGCATTTCGATGCAGTTGCTGCGATGGTTGTAATAATAATAATATTGCATTTTTTTAATTCGAAGCAAAGGCTCTTGTGGAACCAAAATTAAATGTGCGATCGAGCGACGGCGAGGGAGTATTAATATTGGAGAGTTAATTAGAAATGACTAAACGTTTGTCAAGAACGTAGCCATAATCCGAATGAACATGACTAATAAACGTGCTATAGTAATACTTAATGTAAAACACTTTTTAGCCATTCCTTTCGTTGAAAAAAATGCTGTAAATCCTGAAGGGCTATGGAGGATGCCCTGCCACGATTGGGAGAATCAGTGAGTGAGGCGACGCCCCTGTTGGGGGCCATTAATAAATGATGAATGAAACCCTCGCAGGTATCTCGGGTGAGAAGGTGGAGATCACACCACTGCAGCACAAGGCCAAGAGCAAGCTGTGGGGATGGCACCAGAAAGCGGTCACCCACAACCTGAACGAGATCGCCGCCTGCGAGATTGTCAACCGCAAGCACAGTGAGCGTCTTGAAACAGTACACCCGAACCAGTTGGCCCCATGGTCCCAAAGAAGGGATTGGCCGGCCCACTTCGCGAGCAGAGTGGGAACTCGTGCACTTGGCTCGCTAATCTCTTCCTTGAGGCTGTCTCGAGTGTGAACTTTGCTCTTCGGTTTAGGGCGTGATTACTCTGTAATGTCTTCCTAGCCTGGTTCAGGTAATGCTTAAAGGATTGTGCTTTCCGGTGTGTGGTTCAGTTCGAATGAAATTTAAGTTTGTTGTTAAGGGATCATTTTCATTCTATGTTGGAAGAAAACGTAAGGTGTGTTTTTCACCCGAGTCGACTGGTGCAGTGACGTGATTGCTGTGCCAATTGCGCAAAACTGCACCAAGGGGCTAACCCTGCTCCATCCTGCTACATTTTGCCAAAATATGGCTAATCTGCGCCAAGCCGGCGCCAAATGTCCAATTTCGGTCGTCCATCTGGTCTTGCATGGTTTTTGCCGCCGTCTCGCGTTTCACGCCCTCGTTGCCCTCGTCGTCAAAAGACTCTCGTCTCGCGTCTTTTTTTTTTTAAGTTTTCCAGCTATAGACCATTCCATTTAGCGCTCTCTGGGCGGCACCATTTTGTTTGATTGCAGCGCCCTCTCCACACATCCGGGAAGTTCAGCGGGTTCGGCGGGGTAAAACGAGAGGGAGGGCACGCGCCCGACTTCGCTAGCAGACAACAAACCGGGAGGTTGCCATTCTCCATCTTTGGGCTGTATCGGCGGGCAGTACGGAACATCGAACTCTCGCTCGTGGCTGCCGTTGTGAAGTGGTTCGCGTTCTTAGAATAGTTGTGGCTACTCCAAAATCAGCCTATAGCTCTCTGTTGTTCTATTTCGCTAAATGATCAACTAGCATATCCTTTTTCCATTACTTAAATAGCAGTTGAGTCAGCCAGCAGTACTACCCTCAACTACTGTGTGTATTGCGGCAGGAGAGCACGTTTTATTTATTATTTCAGACTTCCACTCATGGTCGCTAAAGGCCTACACCAGTACGAACTTTGTATAGTAAAAAAGGTACAGCAACCGGATTTACTTTTCGCCAAAGAGACAGGCCAATCTGACACAGTTTTCCCTATTTTTTTTTTTTTTTTATTTGCACGCAGGTAACAGCGCAATTGGACCCAGTGAGTCTTTTTATTTAGCATAGTATTACATGACAACTGGCATACCAAAATCTGCGCTTGAAAGTTCCAAAATGACGCGATTTTAAACAGAGTTTGCTCGCCAGCTGGGCGCTAGCTACAGCCCACTCGGCGGAGCAGACGACGTGCGGGGTGGGAGGGGGGGTGCAATTTTTTCTCTTTTACCCTCTCTGCTATGACCCTAATGGAACGGTCTATGGACGCGGGCGTGTGCAGACGCTCCGTCGCTAGTGTGCCGGGTGCCAGCCATGCCGTCATGCTGTGAAACAAAACCACGTTTTTGTGCGGTGAGAGTTCCTTTGTGAGCTGAAACGCTCGCGCGACCACTGTCACCGTGGTCATACAACGGCGGGTGTTGCCGTCCCCACGTCGCTGCAGATATGGCGCTTTTAAAACTTGTTCATCGACATTCCTCTTCTTGTTCAAATCGTACTACATATACTACGAAAATCCCTCTTTAACTCAAAGACTGCTTGTCGAAATATTTATTACCTAGATTTCTCTCGGCAGGCTTTCTTTCGAGAGGGATCCCACTACGTGAAAAAGTGAGCTAAAGCAAAGAAGGCAATGTCTGCATGCTGAACCCACGCAGCGCGCTTGTTTGTCTTGAGTTCAGTCGTTGCTCAGAGTGCTCCAAAACATTTTTGACCCTGGCTCGCGATGTCATGCATCGATGCGCTCAGGTTCTGTTTTTCTCTGTATTTAGCTTGTACCTCGTCTGCCGGCCTGGCAAGCACGCGCCGCTCAACTTTTTTTTTTGTCGAATGCTGGACAGTTGCATTTTTTCATACTATTTTAGGATCCAGTTGGCGACTGAGCGGAGTGGCATTGTTTCGGTTACGATTGAACAGCCGTTGTCTTCGCTACGCGACGAAGCACGTGCCACTGCAAGCCTGCTGAAGTTGCCCTCACGTGCATGTGAACATGACTGCACGACAGAGCACCAGCCGGGACGCTTGCAATCCATTGTTTTACGTCCGCTTATTTTTAATGAAAATCTGGCACGTCGGGAACCGGGAATCAGTAAAACGGTGGCGAGCATTCTTTTCGGAACAGCTCGGCAACGCCTACAACACTCTACACTTGTGGGATGTCTCGGCAGTAAAAACACAAACAGCAAGTTCCGTCATAACACAGCACAAAGTGCCCTTCGTTTGTCCAGCACTTAAAACAAATATTTTTATTTTTCTAAGAATATTTGCTCCAAAAGCCGCTTTTTCTGCTCCGAAACACTGTTTTGGCTGCTCCAAAAGCCACTTTTGCTGCTCCAGCGCGTGACTAACGTCAACTCGAGGCTGTCGGGTACCAGTCCCATTCGACGATACGCCGATGCCAATTCGAGTTTCGAGAACCTGGTTGTTCCTGCCATTTGGTGTGGTAGTTGCTCCGTGCAGGGGAGCGGGAACCCACCCCCGACCGTGTCTTTGTTCGGCTCTTTTAGGTAGACCCGCAGCCGTGTGTGTTGTGCCATCCTTCTTGCAGACAGTGATGGCGGGCACTGTCCACTTTGCCGCATCTATACGCTTGACAACTCCCGGGCACTCGAGTCGGAACAGCTTGGCAGACGCTTGCCCATGTGGCGTAATCTGTAGGCAGCCGAGAGTATCGCCGCGAATGCCGAGCCATATGTTCTGCGTTGCATCTGGCCCGAGAAAAGAAGTGCCGCATTCCACAACGTGAAGCAAAACGTGCATGCAGGTGTGCCTGTAGGCAACGTGGTCAAGGAAACAGCCTTTGACTGGGATCTGCTTCTCGGAGTAATTCAGCGGCACCACCGCGCGTCAGTAGTAAGCGGGTGGTCGATAAAATGCTTCCAAAAAGTTCTTTCGCAAAGGACTGTGACAGACGAGCCACTGTCCACCAAAAGGTGTGACACTTATGTTGTCAACACCATTGTCGACAAAGATACTTTTCCCTTGTGCATGGTAGGGTTACAGGTTGAGAACAGTCATGTAGTTAATGGCTCCCGGCGATTGTTACGCTTCACGGCCGACCGAGCGGTTGTTGTACTTGCATTTCGACCCGCACATCGAATCAAAATGTCGCAGCTCTTTGCAATTGTGACAGCTCTGAACCTTGACCGGGCAATCTGTCGCATTGGCACAACATGGACTTGAACTGTGGCGGCAGCACGACGTACGTACTGCTTGGCATTTTCTTCTGCTTCTACTTCAAGGCCCGTCAACCACTCGCCGTCACGACGGAGTTTTCGCAAAACTCCTCAAACTCCCGTGGCATCTTTTCGATGTATCCACTAAGGTGGAGCGCACGATCAAGTGTGAGGCTCCTGCCTTTAAAAAGTGGGCACTCACGCATCCTTTGAGGTGCTGCACCTTCCGACGACTGGTCACACGCAGCCTCTTTGGCCGCTTCGCCGAAGCTGCAACCCAAAAAGAGCTTGTGCGGGGCGACAGCATAGGCCTGGAAGGCCTCACTTGGCATTTGACAATGCCGACGGATGCAATGTCGTTCCGTCGGCTCGATCGTTGTCGGCGAGAAGAGCTTGTCCAGCATCGCAAGTGCCTCTCCACGGGCATCCTTCCTATTGCCCTTTGCGGTGGCTCCATCTCGTTCTTTATCGTTGCTGGAGCGTGCAGTGGTTGCCGACAGCTTGCGTTAGTAAACCCGTCGTCTCTCCGGGCCCACATTGTTGAACTGTTTCCTGCCCTTGGAGTAAGGTTCTTGCCGCCGATGGTTTTCAAGAAGTTCAGAAATGCGAGCTTCCACTGCCTCCGCGGCACTAAAATAAGGATTTTTTCGATTTCAGGTTGCCCTGCAGGTGCTGCCTTCTTACCCGTTAGGACTATGCTAGTTGCGAGAGAGTTTCTTCTTTCTATCAAAACAATTTTTAAGAAACAATCCCGTCTTTTGTTCAGCTTGTCTTTGAAAGCTTGATCTAGAACCGAAATAGCTGGGATTTGGGGGGTGGTGATTGTCTCTTTTTTTTCTTTTGGATTAGGCAGAAAAAGAGACCCCACGGGTATGAAGACTGCTGGAGGGGACGCTTTGTGGTTGCTTGTCTTTGTCTGTTCCGACAATGTTTCGGGAGGGAAGGGGCAAATTGTTTTTAACGAGAGAGATATTTTGTTAATGGGTCAAAAGTGTCATTGTGGCAGCTGCAATTACCTAAACGGGCACTAATAGTAATTTGGTAGGATCGGAGTTGACGGAAATGAGAGCAACGTCAGAAAGTCAACTTCCGTGGCGTTGGTTTTGTCAGTACGATGACTTCAAGCTTCCACCATGCGTGTTACGCACACCTTCGAACTTGTTGTTTGCATCTGATATACCCCGGCCGTGGCGTCATCACTAGGAACCATGAGAGTACTCCACCGAAACATCTTGTCGCCAATACACACCCCAATCCCAAGGGCGGCACTTTCCTCCGAATGCCCATGTGCCTCGATATCATGGATTATCTTAAGATTAATTAGAATGGAATTCATAGCCAAAAAAGTGGGCTATCGAGAATTTTTAAGGATGTGCAGTCGAATCTCGTTGATTCAAACTCACTTAGTTCAAACTTGCGGATAATTCAAACTAACATGCAGGTCCCATTCTATGTGTCTCTATGGGAGGAAACTCCTGTTAATTCAAACTTTGCTCTATTCAAACAAATTTTCGGTCCCCCTCAAATTCGAATTAACGAGATTCGACTGTAATTATTTGTGCACCATTCTTAATCCGGAAAACTATACAACTGGCATCACCACTTAGCTGCATTCCTCCTAAATAAAATAAAAGTTGCGTAATGTTGCAAGACAAGGCACTGCTGAAAAACATACAAACAGTGGAGAAGCCACTTGAAGCTTGAATGTTCCCTACTATATGGCAAGCAGATTCATCTGCTTCTTTCGCAGAGGTAGAGTGATGTCACGGCACAAAGCTCCAATTGACAGGCATAGTGGGTAGACATAAAGGTTTCTGTCTTTGTGTCTACTCACTGCATTAGAGGTAGCCAGTTTTGTCCGCGACTTGCACAGAGGGTGCAGACGCAGGGTGCCAAGCTCCAGTGTCGTCTGCTAGTCGTACAGTAGCGGCCTTCTCTCTTCTGTGACTTTGGGAAATCGACCGGTTCTTTACATACGAGGACGTAGCCTTCGAGAAAGGGGAGAGGAAATAGTAGTTTTTGTTGACTCGGAACTACCAGATGCGCTACATCAAACGAAGAACTCACGGCCGAGATGTTGTTTGTTGCCCTTTTGAGAAAATAGTGTTTGCTTTGTTGCACACATGATTGCTCCCTCTCACCTTTTTGTGCCTCCTTTCTTTTGCATGGAAAGACTCCTACTTTTTCGTACATCTGCTCTCATGCACCAGGGGCACCCAAGAGACGCCTAAGCCCCCAAGGGCAACTTTTTATAAGGAAAAAAGCACATACACCAGCTATGTTTAGGAAGAAATGTTTAGTTTTTGATGAAATGGCAAATATTAGGTCAACAAAATATATCTGGCCAACGCTTCTCCCGCGACATCACATCCGTCCATGATATCGCGGGAGAAGCATTGTCCCCGAGCCAGATCCATAAGTTCGCCCTTGTTGCACATGAAGGGTTGCGTTTTGGTCGACTTGCTTACTATATATACAGGACGTTCACAGGAAGTTAGGACTGTTTAAGTGTTTTTTTATATTTACCGACTACATAGTGCGACAATATCTCGCATAAAGCTAATTTGATGTGTTCTGACACCAGAAAAGCCTTTTTCCCAAAATTTAGTGTTTTCAATGTCTCCCTTAGACACAATTTACGAGCAACTTTTACAACTTGGAAACCATGTTTCCCCCATCGTGAGCACATGGGTTCTGAGGCAGCCATCACTACTTGCAGGCTCCTTGGACCGGCGTGTGGTGAAGATTGTGTATGTGGCCCCCGGGGGGGAGTTCAAGCACCACGTGTTTGAGACGGACCCGGCCACGGCGTCTGTGATCCGCAACAAGCTGAACTACATCCTTGTGATGCGGACTAGTCCTGCCCGAAACCAGTACCTGTCCATCAAGGAGAAGAAGCTGCTCCGCAAGCAAGCCTCCTTCCTGCTGCCCAACTGAGAGGCGCCCGTCCAGACCTGCTGTCGTGACGAAGTGGGGGGGGGGCACCAGGAAGCATGATCCAGCCCAGAGGGGCAGTGCACTCCCAAAAACCGTTCCTTTAAAGCACCCAGATAGCCTGTGCATTGCTCAAAATGTGTTTTTCCCGAAAAAGTGTGAATTAGCACTATATTTACGCCTTGCCACGCGATTTAGACTGAGCAACGAATGCATGTACGGGCCACCCTCGTCTCCACATTTTTGTGCCGCCTTTTCTTGGCATGGAGAGAGCAGAATCGAAGGCACAGAGGAGAGGCATATGCGTTGGGCATACCTTTCCTCCTTGCTCCTCCTAGCCAGTGGGAGGCTCACAAAATTTTTATTTTGACGTTACTGTGGCACCGAATAAAAGTCCGGTCTGATCCAGTGCTCATGAGCAAGCGAAGTTGCTCTAAACTCGAAATGCATGCTGTGGCAACTAAGTATTCTGCTAAATGATCTTTTTGGGGGTGGAAAGCGCATCTTGTGAGTCAGCTGAAAAGATGCTTCTGGGAAGTGCAGTGTCCCTTTAAGGATAATCATACGGGCTTCTTTGAGACTGTTCAGACATTTCAGCAACAAGATTGTGATCATCTAGAATGGCCAAACACGTTGAAGTGGAGCGGAAAACCCCGTACAATGCTGCTAGTACAATATGGATGCCGAAAATATGCTGGAAAGCTGGTGTACATTTAGTATTGTTGAACTTGAGTGAGCTTCTGCGACAGTGGAGCAGCAAGCAAGGAGCCAGTGATTGTAATTCACGGAAGAACACTAGGGAGTGACAAGACACAGTTCTCATTTGCATCCAAGAATATTGCGATCCGCACGAGAGTTCTGGGACTTCAAATGCCACGCCTACTAGCCCGGCAACTGTCGCTGCTTTGCAAGTAATGATGTGGGAAAAAGTTCACACACAAACTTCGTCCCCAGGAAGGCCAAACAAATACGGTAGGCTGCCGAACTGGCCCTTTTGTGGCCCGCAAGATGAATTCACTCTTTTCAGGTTTTCCAAGGACTTTTAGGTGGTCATTTTGAGCCAGGAATAAAGCTTCTTGGATATTTGCTAGTGCCTCGTCTGCCTGGCACTTTGTTGCTGCGACAAAGAATGCTGTTGGTGAAATTTGCCCACTGTGTTCATATTAGATGTGGGCTAAGTTGGAGGAAATCAAGCTAATAAGCAGTGCAATCATGCTCATACCTGTTCTTCGCAATCACAGGGGTCGTAAAGTGCAGACCTTATTCTGAAAAAGGCGATATTGCAGCAAAAAAAAATTGCAACAGTGACCCATTCTTAAAGGGGCACGAAAGTGCTTTCTTAGATACTTGTTTTATGGTTATAAGTCAACCTACAAGCTTTAAGCATCCTGAAAAACCCGAAATTACATTCATGTGCAGCCGATCTGCGTTTTAAAAAGTGATCAAAGTTCCCGACACTTACCGTTGGCGCAGAACGACAGAGGACACTACCGAACCTCGCTTAATATATGGTCGAACGACGGACGGCGTTTGTCATCCACTCACAAGCAACGGGTTCCTGCATTGACGAGCAGCCGACCGGTCCCGCTGCGTCTGCAACTTTGATCACTTTTTTCAAACGCAAATCGGCCAAGCATGAATGTATTTTCGAGTTTTTTAGGATGATCGGAGCTCGTAGGTTGAGCTATGACCAGGGTTGTAAAAATTACTTCAAAAATGTGCCGAAGATGCAGTCACAATTACTCGTATGAGAAGGTACCTAGGTACTTAAAAATGTACCTAGGTACAAGTACCGTTACTTCAAAGATACTTTATTTTCCCCAAATTTGTGAGAACATATTGGAAGTAAACCTTTTTATTCTAAGGATACACACAAAAACGAGTTCAATAAAAGTGCTTTATTGGAGTCAATGCGATGTCCACATCAGTGTTGAGTCCTCGCGTGCCTTATCCCCAGGCTCCGATTGGTTCACCGAGGCCACAGCTTCCACCGTTTACCATGTCGCACCAAAACTGCCGAAATTCGCTTGTTGAAGTTCTTGCCCTCAGAGCCGGTGCTGGCGTCGACGGGCCCAGAAAACTTTGGCCGCATGAAGAAACGCACGAGTCGAGTGCATATGCACCTGATCTTCGCGACAATGGGCGAAAGGTTTCAATCAAGCTTCCTCGTTTTTTTGTTCTTTCGTTAGTCGGAAGAAAAATAAGCTTTTTTTTCTATCTAAACTTTTTCAGTTTTGATAACTGCAAAATTTGAGTCCGATTTATTGAGTGGAAACTGCATTATATATGCTATGTTACATTGCTTTACGATTGTGATTATAATTTGTTTTCAATTATATTTTATATTGATACAGGCAACAGAAACTGTGCCCATCTTTCGAGTTATCTCCTCCCTTGTATAGCTGTCAGAAAAGCTTCAAACATGCAATGAAGTGGATTTCGGTTCGAGATGAAGGAAGCAGGTCGCTATTTTCCCCAGACGGAGTTCCGAAGCGATTCAATAAATTGGTGTCGCTAGAATGGCATTGCTAATCCACCATTCTCTCAAATGAACACCACCATTTGCTAAAGTGTCGTTTTATGAAACATCATGGGCGGGGCTTCGTTTGCTAAAACGTTGTTCGATCAAGTCGGCGCCTCCCAGGTCGTACCCAACTCAACGTTAATCACAGCACGTGGTGTGTTAACAGTTCAAGATTTAGAGTTTCTACCATTTTGACGAAGTGAAGAAAAAAGTGCCTGAAAAAAGTAACTTCACTTAGTTACAAGTTACTTGAAAATGTACCAAAGATACAGATAAATGAAAGTACCTAGGTTTGTGCCTCAGGTACAACTAAAGTACCTAGATACCGATTTCTAGTTACTTGTACCTAGGTACTTCACAAGCCTGGCTATGACCATAAATCGAGGATATCAAAAAGCACTTTAGTGGCCCTTTAATAGTACTATAGTGCCATATGATCACAATCATACTTCATGTCTCACCTCATTGGTAAAAAAGAGAAAGTGGTCTCACATTGGAGTTTACTGAATTCATTGAAGTCCCACAGTTGTACATAGAACATGAACCAAAATGCACAACCTCTCTTCACCCCCCCCCCCCCCCCTTCCTTGGCAAGGCGGCAAGGATGAAATCATTCTTGCACAAGGGCTTTTTGTGCATATGTGCCAATGGCAAAAGGGTGAATATCTTCAACTGCTTTTTTGCTACGCGGAGGGCAAGTTCGTCTGCTTCCTGCGCAGGGGTTGCGGTGACGTCAGAACGCCGAGCTCCGATTGGCTCGAGTGGAAAAATGGGGGGTCGCCAAGACCCCTTATCCGAGCATCCTTAACGAGCGAGTTCGACTTTGCCTTTCAGAGAGGACAGACAAAATAACTCGAGCGGTATGATGTGTTTTCGTCTAACAACTAGCAGACGCGTATCAAGGAGCGAAGCCAAAGGACCCACGGACGAAGTTGCCGACGCGCCGAGGTTTCTTTGCTAACAACCGAGAATGAAGGTGGTTAGCGTCCGCAAGTTCCCTCCTTTCGTGTGTGGCATCGAGTGTATCGCGGAAGTTATGTCATAGACTCGTTGACACCAAGAAGTAATTATTGCTTTTATTTTTGGCGAAATTTTATGGAAACTTATTTTTCTATGCCGTTATTTAAACAGATGAACACTTGCTCAGGGGTAATCCGATGGACTTCAATTAGCCCTCTGTATTTGCTCAAGCCATTTTTTTTCTAAGCTTACTGTCTTGACAGGGATAAAAACACGTTGCTTCCCTCAGTGTAGCGCGCAAGCGGCCCCGGACATCTGAGGGCATCACAGACCTGTTATTGCTCCCTTTCGTGAGGATAGGTGCCGCTTGTCCCTCCAAGAAGGGCGCAAGGTGCAGAGAACCACGCACCTATTTAATAGCCTAGAGTCTCGTTCGTTATCGGAATTAACCAGACAAATCGCTCCACCAACTAAGAATGGACATGCAGCGCCATCCACAGAATCAAGAAAGAGCTCTCGATCTGTCAACCCTCCCAGAAATTTAAAATGCGACTCACCGTCGTGAAAGCGCCCACCACATCCGAAGACGCAGCACGTATTCATTTCCCCTGGTAACACTGCCCCTTGGACAGCGCCTGATCTGAGCCGACCTCTAAATCACACAGGACAGAAGCGGAACGTTCTTTTCTCTTTTTTTAACCAGCAACCACGTGAAGGACTCGCAGCTACAGCCACAGCTGCTACAGTACGTACCCCATTGCTGACGCCAAGATGTTTACATCCGCGACGCCCCCCTTCTCCCCTAGGAAGCGGAGCTTAATATAACCTCTTCTCCCACCTTCACACCTCCTTTCCCATCCGCAGAAGACCGAAATGCGCCCACTTGCAAGGTGCAGACACAGTGGACTAATTTCGACGTATTTGAGTTTCAGAGAGTTTAGATTTCGCTCTTTGAGCAGCATCAAAATTTAAAGGGAGGTGGCATTAGACCATTTGCAAAGTTCCTAGGCACCAAGGAGCATGCTGGGAAAGAAGTTGCACATTATGCGCACTCATCCTGTTTGTATACGAAAGATAAAAGGTGACTAAAATAAAGCAATGGCGAGTGCGCATGATAGACGTCATTTGTTTTTCTAGTTGCTCTGGCTGAATCAAGTTTGTAACCTATGAAAAGACTAAAGTTAAACCATTCAGTGAACTGTCTTTGCGCTTCAAACGAAGAACATGCACGCTCTCCATTGAGTGGCCCATTTGCAGATGTCAACAATGCAAGCCATCCTGATGATTGCATGAAAACAATGACTCCCTTTTCAAATACAAGTCTTGGAGTTACAAAGTAACGAAAGTACACAGTGAAGGCAGACGTGCACTTTCCACTTTTGTTCCATTTACTCTTTTCCACTTTCTCACCCATGAGTCTCGTCCTTGCTTCCTTTTTCACCCCGTCCATTTGACACAAAAGGAAACTATCTAAACTGTGCAGCGATTCTCAACATTACGAGGATCTTCTGCTAGGAAGTTGTTGCAGAGATGCAGTCTGAAAATGTTTTTATATCATTTTGTGTCTTGCCATCTGTACAGAAATAGCTGTAAGACAGCATGTGTTATCTTTAGGTCCATGCGACTTGCTATCCGCCCCCCCTCAACACTGGAATCGGTGCAGCAGAATTTGCAGGAAACATTTTCGGTATCAGCACTGCCACATGGAGGATGCCCATACTCGTGTTTAGTGTGTGCGAGACACCAATAGGAGACGGCATCATGGACACTCGCTCGATCGTAAAATTTTTTTTCATTTACGCATGTGTATCGTCTTTCTCCTTTTGGTACACCGACAGCAGTGCAGTACCTTTGCCTGCATGGGCCTGGTGATATAAATATCCGCAAAATAATCTGAGAATTCAAAAAAAGGTTTGCCTTTTATTTACTTTTCTCCATTAAAAACTGAAAACTGAAACTGCCAGGATTTCAAAGCAAAACGATTGAGGTACTTCCAAGCATTCCTTACGAGTTTTGAATGCGAAAGCATGCAGGCCGCTCGTCCGCTCCCTTTTTCGTCTGCTGCACACTTTTCGTCGCCGGTCGGCGCGAAGTGCTCCCCTGGTGAGCTTGAACGCTCTGCGCTGATGAACACACAGCGCCATGGGGTGAGCGGTGGGGAAACTGACGAGCGCAATAGCCATCGGGAGCCCTGTCGAAGCGCCAGCCAATGGATCCGAAGGAAACTATCTGCCGTATTCGCACTTCAGACTGATGACGTCAGCTCGCTCCATGAGACAGTTAATGCTTTCGCATCAAAAAATGTGCCCGAGTTTTACCTGTTCGTTCTCCCTTCAGGGACAATTGGTGGACGTCTCCAGATTATTCCATGCAGGCAAAGAGAATGGATGTCAAAGTTTGAAACCCCGTGAACTATGTACAATTTTGTGCGACCTGTGTACACCAGTTTCCACGTAACCTTAACTGACCTTTTTCAAAACGGTACATACAGTTAATTTGCATTACCCTAAATAGGCTATTGTGTTGAAGTGTGCAAGCACATTCACAATAAGTGGAGCGTGCAAGCGCGTTTTTCCGCTGGACACGCCTGGCGCCGGGACTGGGCCGAGATATTCTAAAAAGTATTCCGCAATACAAATACTGATAGATGTATTTTTAGGCCCCCCCCCCCCCCAAAAAAAAAAATGGATACCGAGAGACATTAGTCCTTTCATGTAATGGGGTATTCTCACGATACTTCTGCAAAAGCAGCCAAAAAGTATCCTGGAATGCAGATGCATAAAGAGATACATTTTTTTCCAGAGGTGGTGAGAGAAAGAGAGAGCAAACTTTATTTTGTTAAAGGCCAATGTCCCTGTACTGTTTCTTCGTGTGACCTTTTTACGAACCACTTTTGTTTGTTTGCCTGTTTGTTTTTTTTTTTTTTCTTCTCTGTTTTGATGACTGTTTGCAATTAGAGTTAGGCAGTATCGTGATACAAATGTATTGCGATAGTATTTCAGAAATACCTTTTGTATTTATATTTCTGTATCGCAATACAATTTTTTAGTCAGCATCCGTATACAGTTTTCGGGCATTCCATGTATCAATGTATTTCATGTAGATACATTGACCCACAATCATGGGTCAATGTATCTCTATACAAAATTTTAGGAAACAATGACCTCCACGCAAAAGTTTTCTTTTTTTACGCGCTTCGAGGGAGTGGTGGGTACAGTTAATGGGACCTTCAGGCTTCGCTATCAGGCAGACCATGGTGTGTTTTGAACCAAGTCCATGAGATTAGTGATCTCTTCCCTATTCTGCAAAGCATTCAGTTGAAGGGACCACGTTTTGAAGCAATGAGCTTGCGAGTCTCGCAATGCTGCACGGAAGTGTCCAGGCGGAGTTTGGACATCACAACTCCGACACACATGAGCCTAGGTTGGATTCATGCATGCTTTGCTTATGGTGGTCCCAACTGCCTGTTTCCATATGTTCTCTTACCACCATCTTCTTGCCTTCCAACATTTTCGCTAAAACATAAGTAACATTAAGGTAATGTCAATCTGGGAACTCCGACAACATTGCATAGGTGTCGGTAATATGGACTACTATGAATTTTTAGTTCCGACGTCCGAGCTGTCGACTGTGCTTCTGCTATCTGCCCTGCAAACTATGTGCACCAAATCGAGCAAATACCTTGTAAATATTCTGCACACCGCTTGTGCTGCTGCAGTCGTCGGCTAAAGGCTCGTCCGACAAGCGGCCCATAGTTCGACGACGGTTATCGCCAACAATGCTTAGCCCAAACAACGATCATTGCCGTGAAACGTGACCAACGAAAACATGGAGGCCACCGACATAACGAAATTGGCAACGCTGGTTTTCCAGCAACTGTTACCTCGGAGTGGCACCGCCCTATGCAAAGCTCGCACGACGTCACTCTACGAAAGTTTACTCAAGGGCCATCGCACTTCAACCACCCGGGTACACCTCGGACTTCGGTGGCCATTGCAATAGTGTTGCTGCCGCGGCAAGGCTTGCTCACAGGTGGCACCTTACTCCTACTGGCTGATATAAGCGATGTGACCATAGCGATGACCAATGGCAATCTTGTCGGAAGTCCCAGCCAGAGTCTTGACACATAAGGACAATTGCACCGAGATTTACCAAGCCAAAAACATACTCTTGTATGGCAATCTTGTGGGTATTGATAAAATCCCCCCTAAACAGAGCTTAGAAGAATTTCGAGTAGCATTATTTTACCAATAACAAAGTTGCCTACCTTTACACGTTAGCCACCGATTTTTACAGCAGCCGCTTTGGGACCGGCTGGCACATTCATCTTGCACAGCAATTCCGCTATCGGAAGGGAACTTTATTTTCTTCCTTGTCCATTATGTGCCCGACTAGCTCCTCGATCGGCACAGACACCGATCCTTCAGGTAGCGTGTCGCGAGGATAAAAGTCCGCTTTGACCAGTAGGCACTTGGAGTGCACCTCTTCCGACAAGTGGTACTGTCGATCAAGATCATTGGCATACGTCCTCAGTCCAAGGTCCTTCTTCAGGCACTCGCGCAAGAACGCCGCGTTGACCCGCCTGGAGTGGCGCTGGCTCCACGGGTACAGCGCCTCGTAACTGGAGCACTCTGGACAGTTCTTGCGGCCGGGGTCCGTGGCGCAGGGCATGGCCTCGATGTTGTTGATGTCCACTTCCCTGACGTGCAGCGGCACCGGAAACCTCCGGACCAGGTCGCGCCAGGAATGGCCACCGCCGAAACGCCGGCAGAGGTACAAGATGGCTGACAGCAACTCCGCACGTTCTGCGAGGAGAGAGAGGAAGCTCAACTTGGCCAGAAGTTGCAAGAAGGATGGGACTGTTACCTTGGTTGTGCCGAGACTTGGACGGCAAAGCCAGGGTTGTGGGCGTTTCTTCGAAATGGCCACCCTGACACATTGTGCAGGCATTTCCTCGATGAGCAGTTACCTTGTTGTAGGCAGCGACCAGGCCGGAAGCCTGTCGGATGCCGGGAAACAGGTGGCTCAGCTTGAGTAACAGCCGAGTGTCCCAAGGCGCGATCAATCCTCTGTCGACCAGGATGTCGACGAGGTCCACGATGCTGTTGCAGGTGCGGTGTCTGCGTGGCACTTTGTCCTTGAAGACGGCCCAGACAGCATCCCGCTGCTCTCCAAACTGCTCTCCTCTCCAGGCCGCTTTTAATTCTGTCACGAGCTTCTCGAAAGGCCCGTTCTCCACGTCCTGCGACCAAGAGTGACGCGACTTGGATTCCAGACGCTCTCTTGTTGGAGCACAGGAAAGGACCTCCGAGCTTCGGAATCCCGTAAGCAGATTTAATTACAGAAAACTGTGGTCAGGAACAGAGGAGGTTATAACCAGGATTACATGTTTACTCTATTTACAAATGTTCAATAAATACTTTTCTAAAAAAAGTTTTTGTCTTTTTTTATTTTTTTTTATTAGTGTTAGGTATCTGGGTTTGTCAGAATTGTCAGGACTGCAAACAAAACTAATTTCAAGTCAATAGTCAGTTTGTGCGTTCTTCAGCTGTGACACCTAAAATGTAGGCACCACAACTTCGCTTTTGTCTCCCTTGGGGATTATCTTCGACCCCGAACTTAATACAAAAAAGCCTCTCTGCTTGGACAGAAGGAACAGAGAGAAGGTGCCGAATGCATTTACTCTTGAACCGAAATTTGTGAAAAGGTGGATTATCCATATAGAAATTGTAATATGCTCTCCAACAGAAACGTAATTTTTGTGTAGTTAAGAAATAGCTTAAAACACCTTAGAAATAGCTGGAAAACATTTTTGTGTGTTCTAATTTCTGTCTTTTTAGTTGTTTTTTTTAGCACAACATGCCTTTGCACAGCTTGCCTTTGCCAGCAGTTTTACTTAAAACTTCAGTCTTCAAAGTCATGCACATATTGTTGCCATTCTTAGGTTTCTAATACTATGCCTAAACTCACTCTATACCGGAGTGCTTTGGTTATCTGATGGTGCTGGGACACTCTCCCAAAAAGAGAAGAGCCCAAGAGGGCTCTTCTCTTTTTGATCTCAAAGCCTCCAAAAAATGCAAGACACGAATTCCTAAGAATCTTGTTAAGGTGGGAGCTTGGGCGAGTTGGCAATTCATATTTGCAGCGACAGTGCAAAAATTCATCGGGAAAAGTTAACCCAATAAACATGACAACAGCCATGGTTCCTGGGAAAGCCTCAGTGACGTCTGTTTTCAGTGAACACAAAGTTAAGCTGTAGCTAAGGGCTTCTTCTCGTGGGGGACATGCAGATTCAACTACTCACAAACAGCTGCAATTCCTTCTTTACAGCTTTGACCGAATTCAAGAAAATTTGGGTTAAAAGGATAGCCGATATACAGGTAAGAAACAACGTAACATATTAGAAGCACTATCCTTCTGGCACCACTTGCAGTATTGTTTTAGCTTCCAGCTTTCTTGTTCCAGGGGCACCAATCTGCCCGTTTTTTCAATTGATCCAATAACAAAACGTCTAGAGTGGTTCTCAAACGGGGTCCGCGACCCTTCGCAGTCTCTGAAAGCACTCCTGGTGTCCCCGGAGCCCTCGACCGTCAGTCATGGGCAACTAAACTTTTTTTTTATTAATGCTGGCTCTTGCACAAGGTTAAATAGACCAAAGCATGTGCACCGAGCCAGTAGGGTTGATTACTCTTCGATGGTGAGCTTTAAAGGTGGTTCCCACATATTTAGTTTTATTCATTTACCCTTTTGTCATTGTAACCGTCCAATAACTCCATCCCTCTGGTGTGCGGGGTCCCCCATCACGTCTGCTGATCCAGAGGGGTCCTCAAAGCACGAGTGGTTGAGGACCATTGGTCTAGAGGATGAAGACTAACGCTACAAAAGGTTAATTTCAGCGATACTTAACAAATAGGGCTTTGAAACTGCTGTCAGTGCCTCTCGAAGTAACAATGCTAGCTCGTGAAACTACAGGTCGTTTACATAATCGGAGACCAAGAGAGCAGACAAATAAAAGAAGTATGGGGGCATGAACGTAGTCGGCGTCCGAAATGTGGCAACTTGTCCCTCACAGTATACGGACAACTTGGTCAGTGCCGCTCTTTAACGTGCGAACGCGGTACAATGCTCATCCAGGTTGAAATGGTTGAAAAGCCGCAGGCCTTTATGGTACGAGCAACTCGCCTTTCTGCGGCGACGCGGTCCTACTGAACCAAAATACATATTATTGTTATTATTGATGGGCAGTGGGTGGGTGGATCGAACCCAGGGATCCCAGCTGGGTTCTGTAGTGCGAGCGTACGGTCCCGTGCGCCGGCCTGCGGTGCACAAACGCACTCTGCAGTGCGAAGACAAATAAAAAAAAAAACAAAAAAACAGACACACAAATCCCACCTCTAGGACACAGAAACTTGGCACGAGTTCTTGTATGGGTCTTCAATGTGCCTCCTTGGTATCCGGCTTTAGTCTGCTGTGATGGTCGAGTAGTACATTATAACACTAAACTAAAATCTTTGCTGCAGTTATATGTGCTGGAGGACTATCATTACAATGTACTACGGGGGTCTCGAACGTCTGTCTGTACGAAAACAAAGTGACAGCTTATAACAGGGTCAACTTGTCGTCGCGTGATCCGACGCCGAAAGCAGTGCTTACCATCTCTCTGGTTGGTTTTCTGCGTTAAGAACCTTATTTGGTCGATGTCATGACGCCAATGCGGATGATTCTCAACACTAGAAAATTAAAAGAAACGGTGAGCATTCAACGAACCTCCAAAGTCTAGCCAGTTTAGCTACTGCCGAAATCGAAAAAACTCGACAGGCTCGACTTTACGAACAGTGTTGCCAAACTGCTTTCAGAACCGATTCTTGTTGTGGGGAAGAACTATTTTTCCGCCTTTCCAGCAGTTCAGGCTTGTTCAGGCCGTGAAGGCTTGAACTATGGTGTACTTGAACTTGAGAGATCACCGAGATTACGGCCACCGTTCGCTACAAACGTTGCGACGTGCGTAACTGGTTGTTTCGCTGAGTGGAGTGGTTGCAGCATCATCATCGTCAAAGTGGGGGAGAGGATGCACAGCATGCAGAGAGACCGAAAGGGGGAGAGAAAGAAGGGGAAGGGAGAGAAAGAGTATGGATGGGTGGATGGATCAAACGTTGGGATCGTTCGGATTATGGTTGGGATGAATGGTAATTTGCGTAAATTTACGTCTCCAGCTCGACGCTCGCCCTCCCGCGGCGGAAACGGGAAGCGCTCTAGTTAGGGCATGGCCTCCGAGATCCCGAAGCGCGCGAACGCTTGTCCGGCCGTCCCATTCGTGCGGAGAGGGCGTAATCGAAAAAAGAGAAGGAGGCGGCGTGTCTCCGTGGGGAGGCGCTCCCAACCCAGTCATCGACAGCATGGCGCGAGGCTGAAGAGTTCAAGAAAAAGTCTTGTTACCTCGAGTTACCTCAGCTTATACTTACAAATTTTTGTGCATTGTGGTAGAACGGTGAACAGCTGCTCTGGGGACGTTGATAGAAAATTTGTGATGCTTATTTAATTTGAGATATTCTTCTGGACAGTTTGCGGCTAGCACTACAAGCGCGCCTTTTGATATATTTGATTGCAATCTGTAGCAAGTATAAAACAAAACAAAAAAAAACCTCCGTATATATATATATATATATAAAAAAATAGCATTTTCCTAAATAAAAATATTCATTCTACACAATTTTTTTTTTTTTTTTTTTACCTTTGCACGTTGTTTGGCGTAGCTTTTTGAGCCTCACGAGGTTTGATACTACATAGTGAAGTCCGTGTTGTCCTTCTTTTAATATTTTTAATATTTATTACGCAATTTTTGCGGGTCGTATTGCGGTGTTTGCTTCTACTAGAAGTACCTCTGAGGCGGCTGCAGATATAAGTCACCACGATATCCGTGGTTCAAATGTCGCGGGCCAAGTGTCTCCTTGAATTCGTTGCCGTGCGCCATTCGAAGCTCAGAGCTCGTGGTGACTCGAGTTTGAATCTGTTTGCAGACTATCTTTTGTATGATGTATAAGCAGCGTGACCCCGGGTTTGGGGAGAAACCTTTGGCGGTGAGGTACAACCCCCTCGCAATGATTCGTCATTTTTTTTTATAACGTGATAATTGTAGGTATACTCATTGCAAAAGTGGGGCGTTATCTTGTAAACTTCTAGTTTTTGGCACATGTAGCACAAACCACCGTATCCCGTAATGCACCTTGTGATGCAAACAAACAATGGGATCTCAAGAAAAAGAACTCTGGTTTATCCACTATCCATTTCCGACAGCCGGCGCAGCCCGACCCAAAGCTAATTTTCACTGGCCGGGTGCGCTTTATTTTAGCCCAGTATGAATAGCTCACAAATTGCGCGGCATGGCAGCTCGCTTGCAACTGCTACACATACGTTGATTGCGATACCGAATAGTAAATACTGTAAGCATTTTTTTTTTTTTTGCTGCTATTATTAGTTGGACAAATCTGCAGGCCTAGGCACCTGTTAAGAAAAATAACCCGATCCTCCTGTTCTGCGACCAAACACGCGCGGAAAGGACGGAAAAACAAAAATGACAAGCAGAAGTAAGCAAAACGATGTGTCACAGTTGGAAAGGAAGGGACACAAAGACGGGCAAAGTTCGAAATTAGCCACTTTCGCTGCGCAAAACCGTAAAAAAGAAAACAGCAATGTCGTCGTCTTTTGCGGTGGTCTGCGAGAAATTGTTCAGGAAAAGTGCCCCTCCGGGGAACTTCTTCACCCCTATTGGGGATGCAAGCACTCGCGCGTACAGATGGTTTACGCCGGCGCGTGTATGTGCGTGTTTGTGGTGAGAAGCGATTGTATGGTGGCGGCGGCGCCGCCGGGGACGAAAAGGAACGCCGCGCCGCTGGTCCTCTAAAAAAGCATTCGCTGCACAAAAAAAAAAAAGAAAATAAAAAAATACTTATTCACAAATGCTTCAGCATCTGTTTATCCCCCACTGTGGTTCCTCTCCCAACCCCCAAACACAATTCCAAAAAACAAGCCGTTAAAAAAAAAAAAAAAGTAATGGCCGGTCTGGCTTGCTTTGGCCCCCCCTGTAGACGTGAATGCAAGGCCCATACCCGGCCCGGGTCCTTCATGAATGTTGACGTGAAGCCCGAGCTCGGCTCGAGGGCCGGGCCGGCCCGTGGCCCGTGGTCTGGCCCGTACCAGTGCAGATCTCTACCTGCGACACGGGCGGCTCGCCCTCTATTATGACTGGGCAGACAGCGCCACCTCGCGGCGAGCGACGGAGTTAGCGCAATTGCACTCCTGCTGGGGAGCGAGACGAATGGGACGGCCGGAGAAGCCTTCGCGCGCGCGCTTCGGGATCTCGGAGGCCATGGGAGGCCATGGTGAAAGCATGGCCTCCGAGATCCGAAGCGCGCCCGCGCGAAGCCTTCTCCGGCCGTCTCATTGGTCTCATTTAGGGATGCCGCAAACTTTTTCGAACCGGAGTTTCGATGATCGAATCAAGCGGTCGAAAGGTTCGAAAGATTTCGAATTTTCGAACGTTCCATATCAAGAAATTCGACGGAAGTCGAATTTTCGAACTTATTAAACTAGGAAAAAGGGTGACCACCCGTCCCGCGACTCGCAGGACTGCCCCGCATTGAGGGCTCGTGTCCCGCGTCCCGCGAGAAATTTCAAAATCTTCAAAATGTCCCGCATTTCATCCTGTCATAAAACTTACTCTGCAACCCATGGCGCTGCCAAACAACGGGGCACGGGGAAGCGCGGAGGTCGATGGCAATCGTGTGAATCGCAATGGTACGCCATTTTCTATCCAGGCATTGCGGGAAGCGACCGTCGTTCTTGCAGGAGAAGCGACGCTCATACTTATGTAGCAATGGTGAGAGCGACGCTCATACTTATGTAGCTGGTGTAAATTGAGCATAGTTGTCAACCCGAGACTGGGGATACGGACACGGGACAGACACAGAACGACACGGACGAAGTGTCGTTCTGTGTTTGTCCCTTGTCCGAATCCCCAGTCCCGGGTTTACAACTATGCTCATTCCTCGTTGTCTCTCTCCCCTTGCTGGTAAAATATTGTAAGAAAAATTGCTCGCCAAAAGTTTAAATATAAAATATTGCAATTATTTTCATATCGCTGTGTCAAGGCAAAAGGGCTGCCGCGGATTTTTTTTTTTTTTTGTGAAGACAGTTACACAAGGCAAAAAGTCTGCAACTCACAACGGTCGAAAAAGAACTTAATGTAAAAATTTATGTAGGACCATGTTGATAAAATTAAGCGTTGAGAGGAAACTATACCCCGAAAGAAATTTATTTTTTCTTTACTCCATTTGATGCATTGAGCTCTGCTTCAGTCGATTTTTATGTTTTCAATTTCGACACATTGAATAACAGGTTTGGCACAAAAAATATATATCACTGGGAGTGCAAAATATTTGAGCTTAAAATTTCCTCTTCCTCCTCCCCCCCCCCCCCCCCCTTGTTCCGCGTGTCCCGCATTTCGCTATCAGGGAGGTGGTCACCCTACTAGGAAGGTCGACGATTTTCGAAATTTTGAACTTATTACGCTGCAAAATTCGATGCTTGTCGAACTTTCGACCTTGAGAGACTAAAAAATCGATGATTTTCGAACTTTCGACCTACTTGCACTAAAATGTTCGAAGCTTTTCGACCTTTCGAACTTTTTATGCTAATAAATTTGATAATTTTTGAACTTTGAACTTAGTAATCGAAAGAATTCGAAAAGTCTCGACCATTCGATTCCTAAAAAATCAAAAGTTCGACAAACTTCGAACTTTTAGGGTAAAAGTTCGAAGTTCGTCGAACTTCGAAAGACCGGCGGGCGATTTCATTTGGATTCAAGCAGTGAGGTACATTCGTAATTTTTTTGTCGCATTTTTACATGCGGTGCCACATTCCTTGCGAACGACAATGCCGTTTATTTCAGTCATCTGGCATGCTTGGTTTTAAAGAAATAGATTCCCGAAGGAGCGAGGAAGGACTTTTTGACAATTTTCGTTGTCAAATACAATTTTCGTTGTCGAATACAAAATAATGTATTTATTGCTTTTTTCACGTTGAGGAATAAATTAACTCATGGGGAAAGATTTCTAAAATTGTTCAAGTTCAGCACGTCATAAAATTTTATTTTTTCTCATTTTAGGTTTTTGGGGCGTGTTTCTTTTGGCCTGTACATATTTTGGTAGGAGAAACTTCTTTCATAGTTCTGGGCTTCTGAATATGCAAGAATACAACACTTCCGGCGCATTCTTGATAGTTTTTTTTGTTTTTTTTTTAAGGGCGAAGTTTTTTAGGGTCTAGCCATGTCCGCATGTTCGTCCGATGTCCGGCGTCGGGTGCTCGTGCTCACGAGCACGTGAGCACGTGCTCCCGTGCTCGTGTAGGGCAAAAAAAAACAACAAAAAAAAAAAACCGCATCTCTACGTGGTGAATGATGTTGATTGGGGCGAAGCTTTGGTGGTGCTTGTTTGCGTAGACGGTGAGCCGCAGCATGCCGAGCCTTTCGTTCGTTTTCATCCATCTCAGAAAGAGAATGTGTGGTCTGTAAAGTGATTATATACGCATTTGAGCATTTGACCGCAGCGTGACATGGATGAAAACGAACGAAAGGCTCGGCATGCTGCGGCTCAGCGTCTACGCAGACAAGCACCACCAGAGCTTCGCCCCAATCAACATCATTCACCACGTGGAGATGCAATTTTTTTTTCTCCAGCTTTTTATTTTTGCATTTATTGTTATGTCTACTTATTGACAATTTTTACCAATGGCACAGTTATTTAGCTCAAAAAGACATAGCTTTGAGCTTCCGAGCCAC